TAAATATTGTCTCAGACACATGGAGCCACAGATTTTAACAAACATCTCTGAATTCCTCCTCCTGGGCCTTTCTGAGGATCCAACACTGCAGCCCCTCCTGTTTGGGTTGTTCCTGTCTATATATCTGATCACAATATCTGGGAACCTGATCATCATCCTGGCTGTCAGCTCTGATCCCCGTCTCCACAACCCCATGTACTTCTTCCTCTCCAACCTGTCTTTGGCTGACATGTGTTTCATCTCCACCACAGTCCCAAAGATGCTGGTGAACATCCAGACTCAGAACAAATCCATCTCCTATGAGGACTGCTTGACACAAGTGTCCTTTATTTATCTCTTTGGATGTATGGACAGTCTGTTTCTCACTGTGATGGCTTATGACCAACTTGTGGCCATCTGTCACCCCCTTCACTACACAGTTATCATGAACCCCCGATTCTGTGGCCTGTTAATTTTTGTATCTTTTCTTCTCAGCCTTCTGGACTCCCAACTGCACATTTCTATGGTGTCACAACTTAGCTTCTGCAAAGAAGTGGAAGTCCCTAGTTTCTTCTGTGACCCTATACAACTGCTCAACCTTGCCTGCTCTGATACTTTTACTAGTACCATACTGATATATTTTATTAGTGCTGTGTTTGGTGGTGTTTCAGTCTCAGTGATACTTTTATCTTACATTCAAATTATTTCCTCCATTCTGAAAGTCTCATCTTCAGGTGGGAGATATAAAGCCTTTTCCACCTGTGGATCTCACCTATCAGTTGTTTGCTTGTTTTACGGAGCAGGCCTTGGAGTGTATCTCAGTTCAGCTTTCTCATCTTCTACCAGGGCGGATGCTATGGCCTCTGTCATGTACACTGTGATCACCCCAATGCTAAACCCCTTCATTTACAGCCTGAGAAACAAAGATATAAAGACAGTCTTGGGGAGGTTCTTCAGCAGAACAGCCTATTCTCAAAACTTGAGCCATAATTTATAATATGTGCGTTGAAAAAGATGGCAAAACCTAACATTTGCAACCAGAAATCATACATTTATGGTTGCAGAATTCTTACAACTCTCATAGGATTTCTAACAAAATACACAGCTCTGTTTTTACATATTTAAAATCTTCATCCTGTACCATCATTAATTTCTATTATCCATAATTAGTTTTGATTACCCATACTGATTTTGCATATAACAAAAACTGTATGTGAAGGTTATATATGAAAATGCATATCATTTTTTTAGAATCAAATTTCATATTGGAATCATCTGAGAATCTTAAAAATGTTGATGCTTCTTAAAGATTCTGCTTTAAACAGCCTATTACTTGAGCATAAAGAGTTTCAAAACTCTACAGGTGGTTTGAAGGAGCAACCAAGTTCAACATTCCTCACCTTTTAAGATTACTACTTTGTTTTGGTTCTTTTATTTCCCCTAAGCAGATGCTGAGAATCTCATAGTGATCAGATCACACAAGGGGAAAATTGTAAAAGTTATCTTAAGTACAGGCAAGTGATTTGCCTAATATTCCTGATCATATTTCTTACCATTTCTTCATCCTCTACATCATGTAGTAAGTAAGCTGCTCTTGAGTTGATTCCCTGACACATGGTGACTACATTTACAACATCAGAAAATGCTCCCCACTCTTGCACCAGTCCCATAAGTAATTGATGATCACACTAGTGTGATCCCTAGTGTTTATTTTAGATTATTTTTGGAAGTAGATTTTCCGGCCTTTCTTACTGGTTCATCTCAGTCTGGAATCCCTGTTGAAACCTGTTTGTTGTTTTAGCAACAGAGTAGGTCCGTTGGTTGAGAATTAAACCTGTCTTCCACACAAAAGGGAAGAATTCTACCAATAAGCCACCACTGTCTCTGCCCTGAACATCATGAAATTGTCCTTATTTGCTTCTTCATAACCTATTGTCTCTGTTCTCCAACGTCACCCTTCTCTGCTTTGTGATGTTGGGGCTAGAGAAGGGATGATATTGAAACTTCAGTTCTGATTTCCATCTGGATTTATTAGTAGTTTCTCCTATTAATGATCAGTAAAGTTCACTACATCCCAATAAACTTCACATTTCCCTTATATTTGTTTCCTTACTCTTGGTGTGGTACCTTCTCTCAGCAGTTGCAAGATTTTTATTTCCACATAGTTCTTTTTTTCTTTCAGGTCTTGTATAACTGTTTTACCAATTTCCTGTATTAAATACTCTTCATGGTATTTTCATTTTGCTTTATTGAATCCTGACTGATAAATTCTACATAGTGGATAAATGTCTTTTTAGGTGTCTGTCATTGTAATGTTTCTCTGCTATTCATAGCAGAGAATAAACAGCATTCTTATAAATGGAGAAAAGATTGAAGTTGTCAAGGACTTCATTCTTCTTGGATCAACTATCAACACTCATGGAAGCAGAAGTCAAGAGATCAGACGACGTATTCCACTGGGCAAATCTGCTGCACAGGAACTTTTTAAAGTATTGAAGAGCAGAGATGTCAGCTTGAGGACTAAGGTGCGCCTGACCCAGGCCATGGTGTTTTCAATAGCCTCATATGGATGCGAAAGCTGGACAGTGAATAAGGAAGATCGTAGAAGAATTGATGCCTTAGAGTTGTGGTGTTGGAGGAGAATACTGAAAGTGCCATGGACTGCCAAAAGAACCAATAGATCTGTTTTGGAAGAATTGCAACCAGAGTGCTCCTTGGAGGCCAGGATGACTAAGCATCGTCTCTGATACTTTGGACATATTGTCCGGAGGAAACAATTGTTGGAGAAGGATATCATGCTGGGTAAGGTGGAGGGTCAGAGAAAAAGAGCAAGACCTCTAACGAGATGGATTGGCCAGGTGGCAGTGGTGGTGGGGTTGGCCCAGGATCTGACATTGTTTCGTTCTGCTGTGCATGGGGTCACTATGAGTTGGTTCCGACTCGATGGCACCTGACAACAACAACAACATCATTGTAATATTATAAAGTATGAACAGGAATAATAATAATGAAAAAGGATGATTGTAAATATGTCTTGATTAAGGTTATACAGCTGAGGATTAAAGTGGTGGTTGGATGTGGTTCTCTGGACTGCAAGGTTGGTTTGAAATGCAAGGTTAGCAGTTCAAACTTCACCAGCAGCTCCTCAGAATCCCTATACTGGGTTGCTATGAGTCAGAACCAACTTGACAGCACTTAACAACATCATATTTCTCGTTGCTGTCTCTATTGATGTTCTTGGACCACTAACTCACCAAGTCATTATGAAAACATAAAAATAAATTATGTTTTATCTAATAAATCTAGGATAGTTATTGATTTTGTCTTTGATAAAAGGGAGTTCTTGACTTTCCTTTTAACCAGTCTGATGAAGACTTAACTGTATTACCATGTAAAGAGCCTAGGTAGTGTAGTAAATAACACATTAGGCTACTAGCCTCATGATCAGCAGTTTGAGTCTATCAGATACTCTATGGGATTGTTATGAGTCTGAGAGCTCACGGACAATCAGTCAGCCAGTGTTACCATGTGTTCTTGTCTGTGGACTTCCTCTGTGCTCAACTACATGGTACCTATACATCCTTTAAAGATGCTGACATAGCTTCTGAGGGAGCAATTTTAAAGTTCTCTGAAAACCTCTGTCTTTTACCACTGAGTTTAATCACTGACACATTTTATAATGTGTATCTGACAGAGGTTGAGAACATGCCAAATGACAGCAAGATATGTTGTTTTTGTTGTTGTTTGGGTTCCATAGAGTTGGTACCAACTCCTAGCAACCTTATGCACAGCAGAACAAAACATGGCCTAATCCTGGACAACCTCACTACAGTTGATACACTTGAGTTCCTTGATGCTGCCATTTGGCCAATCCATCTCTTTGGGGTTCTTCCATTTTCTCTCTGACCCCCTACCTTACCATATATGATACCCTTCTCCAGTGACTGGCCCTCCTGACAATATGTCCAAAGAATGAGAGATGAAGTTTGGCCATCTAAGTCTCCAAGGAGCATTCTGGTTGTACTTCTTCCAAAATGGTACTATTGATTCTTTTGGCAGCCCACGGCACTTTCAATATTCTACTCCAACACCATAATTCAAAAGCATCAATTCTTCTATGGTCTTCCTTATTCACTGTCTGGCTTTCACATGCATATGAGGTTATTAAAAATACTATGGCTTGGGTCTTCACACCTTAATACCCAAGATGACATCTTTGCTTTTCAAAAATTTAAAAAGGTCTTGTGCAGCATTTGCCTAATGCAATACACCGTTTGATTTCCTGACTGCTGCTATCATAAGTGTTGATAGTTAATCAAAGAAGATTGAAGTCCTTGGCAACTTCAATCTTTTTTGCTATTGATAAGAATGTTGTTTATTGGTCCAGTGGTGAGGATTTTTTGTTTTCTTTAATTGAAATACAATCTATACCGAAGGCTGTGTTCTTTGATGTTCATCAGTAGATGTCTAAAGTCCTCTTCATTTTCAGCAAGCAAGGTTGTATCATCTGCATATCACAGCTTGTTAATGTGTCTATCTCCAATCCAGATGCCACATTTCCTTCATAAAACCCAGTTTCTGGGATTATTTGTTCAGCATACAGGTTGAATAAGTATGGAAAGAATACAACTTTATTGCACACCTTTCTTAATTTTAAATCATTCAGTGTTCCCATGTTCTTTTGGAACAACTGCCTCTTGGTCCATGTACAGATTCCTCATGAGAACAATTAAGTGTTCTGGAATACTCATATTCACAACGTTTTACATAGCTTGTCATGATCCACACAATCGACAGCTTTGCATAGTCAATAAAGCAAAGGTAAACATCTTGCAGATGTTCTCTGCTTTCAGCCAATATACATCAGACATCAGCAATGATATCCCTCATTCCACGGCCTCTTCTGAATCCAGCTTGAACTTCTGGAAAAACTCTGTCAATGTATGCTGATAGCCATTTCTCTATAACCTTTATTAAAACTTTACTTGCATGAGATGTCAAAGGGATTGTCCGCTGATTTCCGCATTCTGTTGGGTCACCTCTCTTTGGAATGGGCACAAATATGGATCTTTTCCAATCAGTTGGCCAGATAGCTGTCTTCCAAATTTCTTGGCATTGATAAGTGAATGCTTCCAGTGCTAGCTCACTTTCTTGAAAGATTTCAATTTTATTCCATCAATTCCTGGTGTCTTGTTCTTTGCCAGTTCCTTCAATGCACCTTGAACTTCCTCCATCAGTGTCATTGACACTTGATCATATGCTTCCTCTTGAAACGGTTGAACATTGACCATTTCCTTTTGTTACAGTGACTGATATTTCCTTCCATCTTCTCTCTCTCTCTCTCTCTCTCTTTTTTTTTTTAACTTTTAACATTGCTTTAATCAAGTAACACAGTTGTTTGAGACAGTAACTTTCCAGACAGCTAAAAACAGCAAAGTGAAGAATTACTCTGAGAACAATCTGTAAATACAGCTCAAATTATATGAACCTCAACTCCACTGAAGTTTAGCACCAGACTCAACACTGGTCTAAGCCACGAATTTCTTATTAGTGTTTAGAAGCCCTGAACATATTTTCCTTCAGATTAAAAGAAAGAAAAATCAAATACTCGGAACCAGAAACTCACAAGCTTGGGTATTTAGAGTACAATTCAGTGTAGGTCACCATTATCTCCTGTAGAATTTCAAACTGGCCTTGCAGCAAAGAATTTGAAAACCTAGGTGAGACACAAATTTGCAGACCAGTCTCTGGTGTGACAAAGCCCATTCCTCAGGTAGGTTCCTGCCCCACTCGTACCAGAATCCTACTAAAGGCAGCTGGAGATTCACTCTTATGCCTGCAGTAAGACAGCTAAGTTTCAATTTCTTAAAATATCAAAACAGTGTTTTATTTATTGTCAAATGTCTGTACAATTTCAATGTGAAAAATTTTTACATACATTTTGTATGTATTCCCTTGTTACTTCCCTTGTCTCAGCTATAGAAAAGTTCAGAAGCC